AAACTATTAGATATTTATATACAAAAAATTGATCCATACCTCACATCATGTACATAAATTAACTCAAAGTGGATCATAGACTTAAATGTAAACCCTAAAACTATAAAACTTCTAGGAAAAATTAAGATAAAAATTTTGTTGAACTTGGATTAGGCAAAGATTTCTTACAGTTGACATCAAAAGTATGATTCATAAAGGAGAAATTTGATAATTTGGATTTAATCAAAATAAAAACATCTCTTTTAAAAACACTGTTATACAAACTACAGACTGGGAAAGAGTCACTGCAAAGCATCTATCTGATAAAATATTTGTATTCAGAATACATAAAGAACTTCAACATTCATCTAAAAAAATGTAATGCAGTAAAATTACACTTTACCAAGGAAGATATACCAATTGCAAGTAAGCACATTAAAAAATGTTCAGCATAATTATCAGGGAAATGCCAATTTAAAGCAGAATGAGTTACCACTACACACTTATTATATTGGCTAAAATTTAAAAAACTGATTATACCATGTGTTGGAGAAGATGTGGAGGAAATGGAAGTATCATACACTGCTGGTGGGGATGTGAAGTGGTACAGCTATCTTGGAAAACAGCTTGTCAGTTTCTTAAGAAGGTATACCTACACTGGGCATATGATCCAGCCATTCTTCTCCTAAACATTTACCTGAGACACATTTACCCAAGTGAAAATAAATTATACATGCATAGAAAGACTTGTAGATCAATGTTTTTGACAGTTTATTTTTTCTGCCCAGCTGGCACATTTATTGGCATTAAACATAAGACCTTTCCCCTCCCTGGCATCAGGAAGCCACGCCCAAGGGGTATCCCTCTGCCCCATTTCTGCAACAAACTCTCAGGTCTTAGCAGTAGCCTGAGGTGCCCCCAGGGCTCTGGGCTGCTGAATCGTCTGGCTCATCATTTCTATGACAGCCGGTTTCATGGCGTGCTCCTGGAGAGCTGGTGGATTTTCTCCATCTGCTTGGTTAGGAAGTCTGTCTTCCTCTTGAAGAAGTCCTTGGCATCCTCAGCTATCTTTTCTACATAGTACCCAGTTCCTACATCGATGAGCACATGTTCCACATCATGCAGCTACTCAGGGACATACATCGAACTCATCAGTGGGATGAGTAATTCTCTTCCCTTATTGCTCTTACTCAGCATGTTCAGACAGTCCTTGGCTTCTGCATACTTGGTCTGTACCACTTTGAGCTGGGCAAAGGACGTGGACAAGAACTCCACCTCCTGGTCCAGCTGGTTCTTGAGCATTTCTAGCTGTGGCAGATTCATCTCCATGATAGTCTTGGAAGTTTTATTTATAAAAGCCTAAAACTGGAAAAAATCAAATATCCATCCATAGATGACAGATAAACAGATTATGGCACACCCATACAATGAAATGCTACTCAGCAATAAAAACAAATGAACCATTACGGATATGTGCAGCAATGTGGGTGAATTTCATATTATACTGAGAAAAGCCAGAGAAAATATAACTGTGCATTATTACATACATATAAAACTTTAGGAAATGCAAACTAATCTCTTATGACAGAAATTCTGTTTCAGGGGCAGGGAGGGGTGAAAAGGGGCAGGAGATTACCAAGGGAATAAGGAGACTTTGGGAGGTTCACTATGTTGGTTGTGATGATGGTTTCATAGGCATATTCATATGCAAAACTGATCAAACTGTGTACTTTAAAAACATATAACGTATTGAATGTCATATTTCCCTCAAAGCTATAAAGAAAAAAATCCTGACTTTCTTAGATAAAAGTAGTAGTCTACTTTTCTCTACCTTTAAAAAAATGTATTCTGACAGCATGCCCTAGCAGTATATAAAATTACTTTCTTTTATAGCTTCACAGTATACTTTGTTGTATTCAATATGTCTTTCATTCATGGCCATTTTGGTTGTTTCTAGTCTTTTGTTATAAGTAATGCTGGAATAATATAGTTTTGTGCATATATTTTTTCAGCATTTGTTGTTATATCCCCAGTATCTTTGAGATAGATCTTTAGAAGTGGGATTGTTGAGTCAGTAGATAAATATACAAGTTATTTCTGGAGACGTTGCCAAATCATAGGGGTTGTATGATTTTATATAGAGATCAGCATAGAATGAGAGTGCCTGCTTCCTCCACATTCTCTCACCTATAGAGTGTGTTGTCAAATGTTTGGATCTTGCCAAGATAAGTGAGAAATCATATTTCATTGTAGGTTCAATTTGTATTTCTTGTATTATGAGTGAGGCAGAGCATGTTTCCATATGTTTTTAAATTATTTGCATTTCTTTTCCTGGGATCTGTTCATTACCTCAGCCCATTTTTCTATAGGTTTGCTGGTGGCTATCTTCTTATTTGTAAAGCACTTTATATTTTAGGAATATTAATCCTTCATAATGTGTTACAAATATTTTTTCTTAGGTTACCATTGCCAAACTTGGATTATTTTGCAATTTTTGTGGATGGGGTTGGGCGGTTTTTTTTGTTTTGTTTTTCAGTAATCAAATTTACAAATCATTTTCTTTGTTGCTTTCGGATTTTGATACATAATTAGGAAGGTCTTGCCCACTCACATAATACACAGAGACAGTCACTCAATTTTTTCAACCATTTGTTTTCATTTTTTACATTCAGGTTTCTGATTAACTTGGAATTTAAGAACAATGAGAGAAAAAGATCCAGTTTTATTTTCCATATTGTTATCTAGATATGTAATACCACTTATTAAAAAGTCTGTTAACCGGCGAACTTGCTGTATCCCAAATTTCCAGTGCAGTGGGGTCTATTTCTGTATTTTTTATTCTGCCCCGTGGTGGGTCTGCGTTCTTGGGCCAGTACCATACTGTTATTACAGATCCTGCCCTCCTCTTGTACCACACCCTTCATATATCTTCTTTCTTAGGGTTTTCCTGCTTGTTCTTGCTTGATTGTTCCTCTGAGTTGACTTTATATTCAACTCGAAGATAACCTTTAAAGGTCTAAAAATGGTATTTTTATCTACAGATACCATTTTTTCCCCACAGATTAAATGTCCCCGGTTTCTTCAACTTTTGGAACGTGATTTCCATACTATTCATTATCCTTGTCCTTTTCCACAAGTCATGTAACCCCAACCTTAAGATGTGGCCGGCCACTTGTAGTCCCAGCTTCTCAGATGGCTTGAGTCCCGGAGTTTGAGTCCAGCCTGGGCAACATAGGGAGACTCCCTCCCCTTTCCCGCAATCACCATGTAACAAAAAAAAGTGGGACCCATAACTGAACCCCTGTGCATGGGGGTGACACGATGACATGACTCCTGGGTAAGGCTTTTTAATAAGAGTGTCGGCAAGAATGTGAGACAGCGAGTGCAGTGGAGGTCAGCAGGCGGAACGCTAAGCGGAGGACTGAGTAGGCAGGGAAGAAAGGCCGCGCACGGCAGCGGCGCCCCATCTGAGCGGTGGTCCTTCCACGCTGTGACAGGAAGAGTCAGCTCCGGGCCGGCACGAGAGGCCTGCCTTTCTCCTTTTCCTCAGCTGCTGCCCACAATCCTCCTCTACGTAGATGCCTGCCTCCTTACTCCGGGGCTCTGTAAGTCGCAGGTTCCTGGCGGAAGCGCCAGTCACTTCCGCCTCCCTTTACTTGAAGTCTTCCGCTCCCATTCGCTCTTTTCCCCCGCCCCCTCGACAGTTGGTTCCGTCTGCTCTGGTCCCGCCCTCGCGGGCCAACTCTTTTGGTGCCTTGACATGCGCCAGGGGCCGTGGCTGATGACGTGCTTTATAGGCGGCATAAAGCGAAAGTGCCGGCAGCGGTGGAAGGCGAAGTTCAATCCCAGAGTCCGCCCCCTGAACTGGGGCCTTTCCGCAGGAGGAAGCTCTGAAAGACAGGGGACCCAGTGCCATTCCCCTGGGAATTGTCGCTTGCATTCAGCTGTTCTACACAATGGACTCAGTACCTGCCACTGTGCCTTCTATCACCGCTACCCCGGGGGACCCGGAACTTCTGGGACCCCTGTCGGTGCTCTACGCAGCCTTCATAGCCAAGCTGCTGGAGGTGACAGTCCCCATTCCCAGGGAGGGACTCAAGCTGTCACAGGCGGGTGGAAGAGTTCTGAGCAGAGTGGGTGCATTGATTGTGCAAAGGAGAAATGGAGTGTGTCAGATCCGAGGAAAGCAAGACGTTTCTATGCTGTTTAGGGAGGCAGATGGGAGTGTGTTTGAGAAGATTTCGTCCTTTTTTTTTTTTTTTTTTTGCGTACTTACGAAGTTACAGCACTTTATGTTCTGGTGTGAAGTCACGATCAAAACACAGAGGGCTTACAGGTCTTTTCCGCATAACCCCCGGCTCTGTTGGGGGATGGGACCAGTATGATAGTGTACTCGTAGAGGGCTGTGAAAACAGCATAGATCAGACAGGTGTTTAATGCACTGTTTTCAAGGAAACATTTAGAATTAAGGCACTAAATTCAAAGCGGTTTATCTGGATCAGTTATCAGGAGCTATCCAAACTTAGCATTTGTTCTTTGTTTATGTAAGAGTCGATTTAAGATTTTAAATCTTAGAGGAATAACATTATTTGTAGTATTCATTATCATCATATTGGTTTTATTTGCAGCCATAAAAAGTTGGTTACTTATATATATAAGGTTTTATATCTTATGTGGTTTTTTCAGCAATAAAAAACAACCTATTCAAGAGAAAAGTGTGATGCAGAGAGATTCCAGCCATGTTTTAGATAACATATTGTATCAGGGCCTATTGTAAACTAGAAATATATGCCCAACCTAAAGACATTCAGACTCATAGTACTTCAGAACACAACAAGCCAAACAATAAGTGTGAGACTCCCAGTATCCTATTTTTCTTGAAGCAGTGAGAGCTACTGAAGATTTTTGAGGGGATAGGTATCTGATAGAGTTGGTTTAGAATTTCTATGAATGAGTCTTTGTGACTGCTTTATGGTAAGCTTCTTTAAGGTTTCTCATTATTTCTAACATGCCCATTTCAGCTAGTTGCTACATTGCCTGATGATGTTCAGCCTGGGCCTGATTTTTATGGATTGCCATGGAAACCTGTGCTTATCACTGCCTTCTTGGGAATTGTTTCGTTTGCCGTTTTCTTCTGGAGAACTGTCCTTGTTGTGAGTAAATTAATGCATACTTTAACTCATACATTCAAGTATGGTTTTATAATCACAGCCCTTTTGTTTCTTTTTCAGTTTCTAATGTGAACAGATATTAATGCTTTTAATTCAAGCTAACCTTGTACAATAATTTAGTATATTTTTTGTGTTGGTAAATTCTTAAGTGGATAAGACAACACGTATAATCTCAACGGGAAAACTTCAGTTTATATGTCCCTTATATCAAAATCTAAATATTAAGAATTAGGTGGGTCTTTATTTCAACTCACAAAGGAAAAAAAGAAAGAATTAGGTAGGTCATATGTACACTGTTAGTAGAACTAGGAATTCTTAGAGCCATCCTGAAAAATAGTTTCATGATGTGTATCATAAGCCTTAAAAATGGTTATATCCTTTTATATTGTATTAATATCATGTCTAGTAATCAATCCTAAAGAAATAACCAGTCAGCCAGACACAGTGGCTCAACGCCTGTAATCTCAGCACTTTGGGAGTCTGAGGCAGGCGGATCACTTGAGGCCAGGAGTTTGAGACCAGCCAAGCCAACATAACGAAACCCCATCTCTACTAAAAATACAAAAATTAGTGGGGTGTTGTGGCACATGCCTGTAATCCCAGCTACTCGGGATGCTGAGGCAGAGAATCGCTTGAACCTGGGAGGCGGAGGCTGCAGTGAGCCGAAATGCGTCACTGCACTCCAGCCTGGGTGACAGAGTGAGACTCCTCCATCTCAAAAAAAAAACAAAATGCAAAGAAAGAAATAACCGATCATGCGTTAAATATCTTACATGGCCAGGTGTGGTGGCTCACACCTGTAATACCAGCACTTTGGGAGGCAGAGGCGGGTGGATCACATAAGGCCAGGAGTTCGAGACCAGCCTGGTCAACAAGACGAAACCCCTTCCCTACTAAAAATACAAAAATTAGCCGGGGGTGATGGCGAGAGCCTGTAATCCCAGCTACTCGGGTGGCTGAGGCAGGAGAATCGCTTGAAGCGGGGAGGCAGATCATGCCACTGCACTGTAGCCTAGGCGGCAAAATGAGACTCTGTCTCAAAAAAAAAGTTTTAAATATCTTACATAAGAGCATTCAGCAGAACAGTATTTATTAGAGTGAAAACTTTAACACAACCTACTGTGATTCACAGTGGGAAAGTTGTTAAATTATTGTATGTTCATATAATGGGATATTAGGCTGCTTGATATAATTCAAAGACATAGGGGCACAACAAATACTCACAATTTAACATGAAGTAGAAGAAAAGTAGAAACCAAGACTTTAAGGTGTAAACTGTATATTACATCAGCATACACACAGAAAATAAATGCTGCAAGGAAATACAACAAAATGATAAAAATTCTTATATCTAGGAGATGAGGTAAGTTTTCAGTTTTTAAAAAATGTGTATTTCCCAGATTTTCTGATTTGATCATGTACTGTTTTACTCAGAAAATGTCTTTTTATTTGGAAATACAAATTATATCCTGTGTAAAGACACACTATTAATTTTTTTATCTTCTGTGCAGAATTTGTCTTTCAGACTTAAACATATGTATGTATAAGTGTGTATACTCATACTTGTACATACTTATGATTTATACTATGTAGCATTCGGCTTCATAGTTATTTAACATAATTGGGAGAAGATTATTTTGTGTAAATGAACTTTGCAGATGAAAAGCTTCCTATTGAAACTTCACAGTTAAAATGGCCAAAATTATTGTGTGCCAATCTTTCTAAAACTGAGTACTCTTTTTCTGATTTCATAATTATATCACATATATCATCATTAATAAATTTTCTCTGCTTTCACAATTGATTGTAAAATTACTTAAAAAGAAGGGTCTTTTCTCCTGTGAGGCCTTCTCTAACCTCGTGGTGCTTTTTCTCAGATAAAAAGGTAGAATCAAAGGGTAAATGGAAGGGGAAAAGGTGAAAACATTTTACATTTCGCTCTTGTTTCTCCTATTTGTTAATAAAAAAAATTCTGACGCCATTTTCATTTTTTAGAAAGTTGTATAGGCTCTGTGTCCTAACTGTCGTTCCTCAGCACTTGACTTTTGGAACCTTGGTCTCTACTTGCCTGTTAGTTTGGGTGAAATGGAGCAGAGGAAGTTAACTCTCATTAGCAAGGCCATGACATTAGAGAGAGAGTAATTTCTTTCCATGTTGGAATTTTCTGAATGCATATTCCTATAACAACAGTATTATAAGTGAGATTTAAATACTGTAATTATTATGTATGCAGTATATTAATTACTGTATATAGTAATACAGTATATTAATTACTGTATACAGTAATACAGTATATTATGTAAACAGTATATTTGCTGAGATTATGGATGATTTGTGGACTGGTGTTAGCATCTCATCAACATAATATTTGAAAGGGAAAATATGTTCTGGGTTGCAAAGAAATTTAGTAATATTCTTTTTAAAAAATTAGTTACTGCTTAGATTTTTTTGTCCTATAATTTAGTGCTGTCTTTAGGGGGTGATTTGGGTTTTGCCCTTTCAGGAAGATGATAGTTGTCATTTCTCTTGTTGCTTATGCATTTTCCTCTAGCAGTCTTCCCTTCCCTGTCAGGTTTATGAGCACTGTTTTTAGTGGTCTAGGAAAATCAAATTATCTAGTTTAGTATTAATAGAATTATTTTTAAATTCAGCTACTAGTCAATTTTGAATAGGATTTCTGAGATGTTTTCTGGTGAGCAAAAGAGGTGTGTGTCTTAGTACGAAGATCATACCTTTAATTTTGTTTCCTCAGAGTCTTTTTGAGTAGTCATTGTTTTTAGATTTCATTCTGGCTATTTGGAGTTGTCAAATAAATAAAATGAATAAATAAAATGTTAATATATTTATTACAAAAATATTAGCCATTTCTGTTATTCAAGCTAAGTGCTCATTTCATAAAACTGGTGCTCATTTAGATATATAAACCTCTCTTTAGCTGCAGAGTAAGGTATTTACCTTAGTGCTGTATCTGTCAGACTACAGCATATCACTACTGGTTACGTTTGAAATGCTTTTTAACCTTTTTAAATTTTTTTCATCTTGTGGATTCATGCTAAACCAAACTATTATTAAATTCTCATTTGGTTACAATTCTGACAGTTGTATTGGAAACTATGTACATCTGTTAATAAAATGTTTGACATCAAATTTAATTTTATTTTTCTTTTCTAGGTGAAGAGTAGAGTATATCAAGGTAAATCTTTTGGCTTATTTTGTACTATTCCCTCTGTATTGTTGTTTGATATGGGTTTTATATATAAGTAGTTTTAGTGACTTCTGATATCTGACTGACTTATAGCTTCTGAAAACTTTACTATTCCTAGGTTGCCAGGTTGGATGATAGAGGAAATGGTGATGCTACCAACTGAGATAGGAGATGAAGAGGAACAAATTGCGGGAATAGGGAGAAGATAATTAATTTGAGGCAGATTGACCTTAAATGTTGATGTAGTACCAATTTATTCCATGTGACCAGTGTTTCTTTGCTAATGATTTAGTCAGTACTTTAAATATTTATTTAAGTAGATAATTTGAGGACTAGAAATGTAAATCAGCATGACTGCGTTTTCTATTTCTCTTTGCAAATGACATGTTTGAAGTGGTGCCATTTTCTGAGAAGAAAGATGCTTCATGCAGGGAGGAATACTGAGCTATAACATTTTACTGTATTTCCTATCTTGGAAATAAATTAGACTCTCATTGAAATAAAGGTTCTTATTATATTTTTCTTAAATTGTAACAGTATTTTTACATCCTTATTCTTGTTAGCAGATTGCTTTTTGTATTAATCTGTTTTCACACTGCTATAAAGAAATACCCAAGGCCAGGTGTGGTGGTTCGCGCCTGTAATCCCAACACTTTGGGAGGCCAAAGCAGGAGGATTGCTTGAGCTCAGGAGTTCAAGACCAGCCTGGGCAACATGGAGAAACCCCGTCTCTATTTAAAAAAAATACAAAAGTTAGCTGGGTGTGGTGACACACACGTGTAGTCCCAGCTACTCAGAATGCTGAGGCAGGAGGATTGCTTGAGCTTGGGAGGTGGAGTTTGCAGTGAGCTGAGATTGTACCACTGAACTCCAGCCTGGGCAACAGAGCAAGACCCTGTCTCAGAAAAAGAAATACCTGAAACTGGGTAATTTATAAGAAGTTTAATTAGCTCATGTTTCTGCAGGCTATAGGAAGTATAGCGGCATCTGCTTCTGAGGAGGCCTCAGGGAGCTTTTACTCATAGCAGAAGGCAAAGCGAGAGCAGGCCTTCTTACTTGGTGGGAGCAGAAGCGAGAGAGAGTTAGCGGGGAGTTGCTGCATACTTTTAAACAACCAGATTCCACAAGAACTCAGTCACCGTCATAGAACAGCACTACAGGAATGGTGATAAACCACTTGTGAGAAATCTACCCCTGTGATCCAATCACCTTCCACCAGGCCCCACCTGAACACTGGGGACACTGGGGGTTATAATTTGACAGGAGATTTGGTGGAGACACAGACCCAAACCATATCACTTTTTAAAACCATAATAGTTATGCTAAGAAGTTCTTTTTCCTGATAGTGCCAGATAACATGTCTTTGCTGCTGATCCATTGGGTAATTCAGTTTCATTTAGTGATCATAATAACCTCATTATTTTTTTCTTTTTTCAGTCACGGAACAGCAAATTTCTGAGAAGTTGAAGATTATCATGAAAGAAAATACAGAACTTGTACAAAAATTGTCAAATTATGAACAGAAGGTATAGTTATTCTTTTGTTTTTTTTTCCCATGGTCCCAGCTTGAATTATTTTCACCTATCTTATAGTTCAGTTACTATGGTATTTTTAAATAATATTTATTATTCCATTAATTCCTATAAACCATCCAGATCTTAAGCAGTCATATGTGTAAAGTACTGTTTTCCTCTGTAAGAGGTCAGTCACTTGAAATTGAGTTCTGGTAGCACTATACTTTTTATTTCTGGATTCTGAATGCTTTATTTTATGTAGATCAAGGAATCAAAGAAACATGTTCAGGAAACCAGGAAACAAAATATGATTCTCTCTGATGAAGCAATTAAATTTAAGGTAAAAACTTATTTTGGGGATTACATTTTAAAACAAAAGTATAAGTAATGACTATAACTAACCTTAATATCTTTTTTGTAGGATAAAATCAAGACACTTGAAAAAAATAATGAAATTCTGGGTGACGCAGCTAAAAATCTTCGTGTTATGTTAGAGTCAGAGAGAGAACAGAATGTCAAGAATCAGGACTTGGTAAGAGTTTTGCTGCTAAGTGTTACTAACAATTTGGGTTTTGAACTCTTTTGTAGATTGAGTTGAACTCTTTATTTTCCTTGCTGTTATGTGAAGTAAGAGTCCGAGTCAGGGAAGTTGAACCTACTTCTGTCCATTTTTGTGGAATTTTAAGTACTTACACAAGAAGTTATTCTTATGGGCCTAGGAAGTATTTTGGTTTTCAACCCTAGGTAATTGTCATATTGCTTGGCTCTGCCCTCTGAAACATGTGGAACAACTAGGAAACCACAACCCAGTTGAACAGTCCTGGGTGTTTTGTTTTGTTTTGCAAAGTTTTTTTTTTTTTCTTCTTTTTTTTCTGTAAACATTTTACTTTATTAATAGAATAGTTTTAGAATGACCTAAAAGTTGCAAAGATAGTAGAGAGCATTCCCATAAATCCCACACCCTATTAATCTTGACGACCTCACTGAGGTAGTATTGCCACATTTCTTCACTGTAAAATTACTTTTTTTTTTTTTAACTTTTTGCATTATTGTACCCTTTGGAAGGAAGTTACTGACACAGCCCACAGTGAAAAAGGGTTATGCTCTGTCCCCTTGAGGAGCCAGAATCTTCATAAATTATCTAGAATTCTTCTATATGGGTGATCTGTCTATTTTCACTCCAGTCCTACCATTTTTAATTTAGGCAAGAGCATTTTTAAAGTACCTTGGGGATTTTTTTTCTCTTGCTACAAGAAAAAAAAAAGTCACATTGATTTGAACTGGTTTACTTAAAAGTTTTTTCAGTTTCCCTTCTTTCACCTTTTAGTCTGGTCATCTACCACATTTTATTCTAACCAGGAAGGTTGTGTATGCCATGAAATATTTATGCCTTCGATTATTTTCCCTTACCTCTTTAAGTTCTTGATTTTTCCCTAGAGCAAAACTGAAACACCTGCTTTTACTTGAAACATAGGAGATGGCTCTGGGACGTACTTTGTTGATGTTTCTTCTTTTTAGTACATGTCCCAGTGTTTCTACTGAAATCCTAATATACATTTTGTGTTCTGTTTTTACATGGCAGATATCAGAAAACAAGAAATCTATAGAGAAGTTAAAGGATGCTATTTCAATGAATGCCTCAGAATTTTCAGAGGTAAAGCTGACTATAATTCCTGCAGGATATTAATACTATATTATAGTTTGATTGCAGAGCAAAAGTTTGATGTGTGCTAAAATGTGCAAAAAATGAAAACTACATGATGTTGGGCTGGGAAAGTAACTTTTTTTGATTTTCTTTGGAATTAATTCACTAATAGGAGTGTTTTGCATTAGGTTCAGATTGCACTTAATGAAGCTAAGCTTAGTGAAGAGAAGGTGAAGTCTGAATGCCATCGGGTTCAAGAAGAAAATGCTAGGCTTAAGAAGAAAAAAGAGCAGGTAAAGGAAAGTGCATGTCCTAGGTCATGTAAAATAGAGAACCCAGTATCATACCTCATGAATGCCTTTTCTCAGATCTATTTTTAAGGTAATATATGTGCAGGATTCTGTTCTTAGATATGCAAAGTTTAAAGTATGCTTCCAAAATTGAGTGTAGGTATACATTCTCTATCTGTTCTGGATTTTCTGTTCTGTACAATTTATTTTGGCTATCAGAGTGTCAAACACCGATTGCTGTTTAACTTGAGTAGCCTCCAGTGGGTAATAGATTGGCTTTTTAGACCTAAGAGTTAGATATTTTATAACTCTCCTTTGAGTAGTTACTGCTTCACTAGCCAAGGGAAGGTTACATGAGCAGGAGTCTGGACTTGGGAGATAGTAGGATGAGCCCTTCTGTTCCTTCTGGAAGTAAAGTATTTGAATTGGCTACCATTTTCTGAAGGATGCAGTAAACGAGATCCAATTTCCTTGACAGCTCTGATGTTCTCACTGTAGCTCTGAGGGTTGGGACCACTCTCTCCTCCCGCTTAACTAAGGTCTTAGCACATAGTGATAGGCCAAGGAGAGGCATGGCTCCTTATTTCCCTGTCTCATTCACTTGGTCCTAATGTCTCCAGTACAAAAGCCCTAACCTGTGCGAATCTTGTGTTTTAACTTTTCAGTTGCAGCAGGAAATCGAAGACTGGAGTAAATTACATGCTGAGCTCAGTGAGCAAATCAAATCATTTGAGAAGTCTCAGAAAGATTTGGAAGTAGCTCTTACTCACAAGGATGATAATATTAATGTAAGTACGTTCTCATGAATACAAGCTTAATTCTTGTGAATTATGAAATCTGTAGAATTAAATGGAAAGACTCTTAATGCCCTTTTACTTCTTTTCTAGGCTTTGACTAATTGCATTACACAGTTGAATCGGTTAGAGTGTGAATCTGAATCTGAGGGTGAAAATAAAGGTGGAAATGATTCAGATGAATTAGCAAATGGAGAAGTGGGAGGTAAGATCAGTCCCAAGGAGAATGGACCCGTTTTGCCTTCCTGTCTTTAAGTGCACCAGTACTACTTTTCACCTGACTGAATTTCCTCTTAAGCTTTCAAGTTGTAAACACATATCATTGGATTTGAATGTATGTCTGCTTGCATTGCGCAGAGGTGGATTGCTAGGGTGTGGTGTAGCAATAAACATGCAGTGAACACTGAGTTTGTTTTTACATTGAGACTAGAAGGGTGCATGGGAGCTGCACTGGTCATGTCTTACACCTCTAAGTATTGAACACATACAGTAGTAGAAACTTGTTTCTCAGTTTCATGAAGATAACATGTTAAAACTTGTCATCTCAGTAGCTGTGTGGTTTTAAGGCCCACAACTTGTTTTTAAGAGTACTGAGGTGGTTGGAGGCATAAACTGACTAAGGCCATGAAAGAAAACCACAACTGATTTTGAGAGTGCCGAGGTGGTTGGATCCATAAACTAAGGCCATGAGAGTGGAGGCTATAGGGTAGCAGTGTTTACTGATGAGGACAGTGTTTCTAGATGCCCTCTCTCAAGTTGGATATTGCTTGTGTAGTGGGTGTTTAAATCACACCTGGTAGCAGATTCTGGAGGAGAATAGGAGGGAATGTTTCTGAATAAGACACTAAGCCCAGATGGAGGTAGATATGAGAGAGAAGAAAGAGCTTTATCTCACATGTTTCTTCTTGCTCAAGAATGGCATGTATAACATGTTTATGTACAAATGGGAATTCCCTTTTTCAGTCTTAAGTTTGCAGTTATCTTAAAAGTCAGTCTAACCCTGTTCTGTTTTTGTTTGTTCTTTAAATGTTTGAACATGACAATTGTTTGGTTTTGGGTAAATCAAGAAAATACGAATTTAAAAAGCAAGAGAAGAAAAAGCAATGAAAGAAATCCTTTTGTGTTTTAGGTGACCAGAATGAGAAGATGAAAAATCAGATTAAGCAGATGATGGATGTCTCTCGGGTATAATCCTTTTTAGAGTCCCATAATTACCTGTGAATGCTTTTACTATGCCTCACTTTTATGAATACTTCTCTTTTCTGCAATTTTTAGACACAGACTGCAATATCGGTAGTTGAAGAGGATCTAAAACTTTTAAAACTTAAACTAAGAGGCTCCGTGTCCACTAAATGTAACCTGGAAGGTAGGTTGCTTCTTGAGAAGAAATTGCTATATCTTGGAAAGATACAAAATTGCATTAGAAAGATAAAGAGCGGCTCCCTGCTTTCATTCGTCTCATTTCTCTCAGCACCAGCCCCCAACCAAGTTCTCAAGTTCTTGTGCACACACATAAAACTCTAATGTTTAGGCCGGGCGCGGTGGCTCAAGCCTGTAATCCCAGCACTTTGGGAGGCCGAGACGGGCGGATCACAAGGTCAGGAGATCGAGACCATCCTGGCTAACCCGGTGAAACCCCGTCTCTACTAAAAAATACAAAAAACTAGCCGGGCGAGGTGGCGGCGCCTGTAGTCCCAGCTACTCAGGAGGCTGAGGCAGGAGAATGGCGTAAACCTGGGAGGCGGAGCTTGCAGTGAGCTGAGATCCGGCCACTGCACTGCAGCCTGGGCGACAGAGTGAGACTCCATCTCAAAATAAATAAATAAATAAATAAATAAATAAATAAATAAATAAATAAACTCCAATGTTTTATCCTTTACAGACCAGATAAAGAAATTGGAAGATGACCGCAACTCACTACAAGCTGCCAAAGCTGGACTGGAAGATGAATGCAAAACCCTGAGGCAGAAAGTGGAGATTCTGAATGAACTCTATCAGCAGAAGGAGATGGCTTTGCAAAAGTAAGACTGTCATCATTTCCTGTGAACTGTATTGTCATGTGACTAAATAAATGTGTAACTAATATAGATACTGTTATCATTTTTTAGGATTATTTATACTTTTTTACATCTGTAATTAGTATAAATTTGTCTTTCTTTCTTTCTGCTTTGTTTCTCATAAGCTGCATTTTTCTTTCCTTTCTAACCAGTAGTCAGAAACTGTTGCCTGTAGCTCCCTGAAGGGGGAGCAGTGTGCTGGTGCCGACAGGTGCTGATGTGGAGTCGTTCTCTTTGGAAGATCTAGCCATGCCTTGTCTGTGGCTCCACCACTTGTTTCACTTTCCTTTCTTTGTGGTCAATTATGTAATTTCCTTTAAAAAGTCTGAGTGATTTTGTATGACATGTGTTTTAGTAGAATAAAAACTTCAAAAAAGGAAAATTTACTTATTGCAGGTACATTTCGTTTTGGACTTCACAGTCAAATATTCAAACTAAATGTAATTGTGGCAAAGATACTAGGAGTTTTGAATATAAAACTATTTGGCGTGTATATTTAGATATTAATCCTCTGAAATACATGTCTCAAATTTCAAGCGAGGCACCTTTTGAAAGCTGTATTTTTATAGTTCAAGTTTTTTCTCCACAAAAACATCTGAATTCTCTAAAAATAGGTTATCTGTGGCAGTTGCTATTTGTGTTTGCTCTTGTATTTTATTCTTTGGTGTATATGGCAGTGCGTGAGAAGGCCTCTCTTGCTAAGCAAATTTAACTTTTTAAAATGCTTAGACTGCTACTGCTGTATGCCATTAAATATTGAAACTATGCCATTAATGTTTTTTCTAAGTCTTTGCTCACCAAGCAGCCAATTTAGATTTTCCAGGTTTTGTTCAGGCCAGCTCTAAATGCCTGTTCTGCTTCAGAGAGACATTCCCCATTTCATTACTTTTTAAAAACAAACACTTCTCTGCCTCCAATAGTAATGTGAATTACTTAAATGGCAACTGTTTTTCTTCATTATACAGTTAACCCATTGATGTGGCAGTATTTTACTAAACTTCCCCGACATTCATTCAGTCTCCTTGTCTGGTTTGTACTCTGCTGTCTACCCCTAAAGTCACTTTGTTAGTTCAGGCCCTTGTCATCTTTTATGCCAGTCCCTAGCTAATCACGTATCTCCAGTCTTTCCTTTCCTTTCCTGTCCTGTCCTGTCCTGTCCTTTCCTTTCCTTGTCTTCTTTCTGACGGAGTCTCACTGTGTCACCCAGGCTGGAGTGCAGTGGCACAGTCTCGGCTCACTGCAAGCCCCGTCTCCCAGATTCATGCCATTCTCTTGCCTCAGCCTTCCAAGTAGCTGGGACTACAGGCACCTGTCACCACGCCCAGCTAATTTTTTTTATATTTTTAGTAGACATGGGGTTTCACCCATGTTAGCCAGGATGATCTCGATCTCCTGACCTCGTGATCTGCCCGCTTTAGCCTCCCAAAGTGCTAGGATTACAGGTGTGAGCCACCGCGCTCGGCCCCCCATCTCCAGTCTTTCCTATACAGCTTCTTCCCAGTTCCGATTGTCTATATAGTTGCTAGAGTGAACTTTTTAAAATACAAGTCTGTCCATGTCATTATGTGCTTAAAATCTGTCAAGGATGCGCCATTCCCTTCAGGGTGAATTCCAGACTCCTTAACAGGTAGAGGCCACTTTCCCCTCAGCTAGTCCTGAGCTGCCTCTCCAGGTGCATTTCCTGTAGTTTCTTCTGATGCTTCTTGAACTGCAGACTCTGAACCGTTCCTCCATGCCACTCTAAACCTCTTTGTCTTTATGTATGTTGTTTTCTCTGTAGTAAAAATGTCCTTTATTGTTTCTCCCTGCCAGTCTCCTACCTACTCAAATGTTTATGCTCCTAAAAGTCTTTTTTGGAGTGAGTTGTAGCATAAATAAATAGGTAGCCATAGAGACTGAGTACTCATTTGCTTCTTAAATGTAATTTGTAAATATGTGTTTGAGTTGAAATCTACATATTGGTATCTGCTCTCTATTTGATGGCCTGTTCTGTGTTCCTTTTTTCATTTTTTTGAATTGTTAGAGTATTTTAAATGATTCTGCTCTTCTCTATTTAAGCTTGGTGGTTACAAGTTGTTCTACTTGTCCTCTTGTTAAAGGCCACAGCATGTATCCTGGACTTATTAAAATAAGTCTGATATAGTATAGTTACCTCTTTCTTAATAGAGGAGTTACCTCTTTCTGGGCTTTAACTTCCTCCTGACTTAGATGTTATTGTGGTCATGTATTTTAATGGTCTGTGTAGCTCAAACTCCACAAAATGTTTTGTCTTTTACAGTGCTAACCTGCTGATACTCAATTTACACACCTATTTATAGTTCCTGTCATCCTTCATTTTCCTACATCTTCAGTCTTCCATTTGGGATCACGTTCATTCTACTTGAAGAATATACTTTAATGCAGGTTCAGTGAGTTTACTTTTGTGTGGAAATGTCTTTATTTTGACTCCGTTTTAAAAGAATCTTTCTGCTGGTTATGGAATTTTGATAGTTGTTTAATTTTAGTGCTTTAAAGATAACCAATTATCTTCTGGTTTTAAAATTTCTTTGAGGAATCTATTATCTTTCTTTTTTTCTCTTTTCTCTTTTTTCAAATGTATTATGCCTGCCCTAGCTGCCTTTAGTCATTTTTCTTTCTGGTTTTTCAGCAGTTTTCTTGGGAAGTGCCTACATGTAGGATTTTGTCATCACCCCTCCACCGCTACCCCCCTGCATTTTCTTTTGCATTTATACTGCTTGAGGTTATAAACATCTCTTGAATTTGGGGACTCTTTTTTCACATATTAATTCTATCTCATTCTCACTTATCCTGAGAATCCAATTAAACATACTAGGCTCTCCCACTCCTACCCCTCACCCAGTGCCTCCTACATTCTGAATTTGCTTCATTCTGGTTGTTTTCTTCTGACCTATCTTCCAATGTGCTAAAATCTCACCTCAGTTAAAATCATTGAGTTCTTTTTGATTTCACTATTTTTCACTTTTATAGTTTCTAATCCTCTGCTGAAATGTGTAATCTTGACTTGTACTTCCTTCAATATGTAAGGCACAATTGTTTTAAAATCTATGTGGTAAGGCCAGGCGCGGTGGCTCACGCCTGTAATTCCAGCACTTTGGGAGGCCGAGATGGGCGGATCACAAGGTCAGGAGATCGAGACCATCCTGGCTAACATGGTGAAACCCCGTCTCTATTAACAATACAAAAAAAAAAAAAAAATGCCAGGGGGGGTCCCAGCTACTCAGGGGGCTGAGCAGGAGAATGGCATGAACCCGGGAGGTGGAGCTTGCAGTGAGCCAAGATTGTGCCACTGCACTCCAGCCTGGGCGACAGAGCAAGACTCCATCTCAAAAAAAAAAAAAAAATCTATGTGGTAATCCTATTATGTGGATCCCTTATGAGTGTGTTTCTCTGGTCTTTTAGATTGTGATCACATTGTCTTGTCTTGTGGAATGCCTGGTTGGTTTTGATGGAGTGGTGAACTGTCGGGGAAATTTGAGGTCTAAGATGATGTTATCGTCCTACAGAAAATATATGAGATTACCTCTAGTGGGTGGTCATTACTTTATTCCAGTTAGCAATTAAAATCATTCAAAAACGGCTTAGTCCCTTTAAAGGACATTGTTTTTATTGCCTGTTCAGTACTCCAAGTGTGCAGCTCTTTTCTGGTCTCAACCCAAAGCCTAGGGCTTTTACTAGGGGTCCTTCTCATTGGCAGTCCTGAACTCCACTTCTTGTTTCTCTGAACCCAGGGATCTGTTGAAAGTTCTTTTCAACCTTCTTATATGTCTGCATTGTCTTCAATGCACGGATGAACCTGGGGGAAAATGGCTTAAGATGCCAGGCTTACTTATAATTCTGTGTTTTTTCCTACTGGATTTTCTTCACTGCCTTATTAGCTTTCTGATGCCTTCGAGCACATTCTTTATATTTTTGTCCATATGTTCTTATTTTCAGTGTTTGCAGACTAACTCATCCATTATTGGAAACAAAATTCTCTTGAATCTTTCTTTAAGACTTGTTTTTTCCACATCCCTTCCTAAGCCAGAGTCAGAGAGGGATTGTTCTGTTCTTACATGCACCTTTTGCACATTCAACTGTGAGCCCCTTTAGTGCAGAGGTGGTACTTACCATACCCATGCCTTTATCTTAGCCTCTTAAAAGGTAACTAGTATATTATAGCCACTCATGACATATTTGCTGAAGTATTGAATGAGCAGTTGTAAAAGAGTACATAAACTTCTTTCTCTTTAGTGTTAATAACCCTTTTTACTATTTTACTATAGCTCCTCTATTTTTGTTTCCAATTTGTAGAAAATTTTCAAGTACCTTTTGCATCAGAACTATAAGTAAAGAAATACAAGGGTAACTACAGGTAGCACTTTTAAACCATTAAACGTTGCTGCCTTTACAATCTGTGTTATAGTTGGCTGACCTCTTGAGCTTGAAGGTTGTCAGGTTAAAACCAGTTTCCAGTACATAGCACCCTGATTACGGGACAGTTTGGATTCTTTTTCTGTTCAACAGACATTGCCGATACTCAGATTTGTCTCTCTGCTTAATCATGATTCCATTGAAATAGGTAGGAGAGCTTCATGTCTGTAGTGTGAAAATGTTCTGGGGTTAATTGCACAGTTAAGGACATGTTCTAAAAAGCTCTTTCATTGGCTGTCTTTATCGTGGTACCATTCTTGGATTGAGAAACAGCCCATAAGAAAATTAATTAGTGGTCTTTCCATGGCTAGAAATAAGAGAAGTAATTATCTCCTGCATTATCCTAATAAGCTTAACTGTGTTAGGTTGATCAGTCCTGGCTTTCTACATTGAAGAAAAGTGCGCATTCATCATTTCAACACAACAGTCTTTCCCATGGGACACATAGTGCTTTTTTACATTTGTATTATTTACTAATGAGGAGAAAATTATGAGACATTAGAAAATGCAGGTGATGTATCAACAGGCCATAGTTGGATTTTTATCCTGAAGAACAGTTTGAGTTCCTTCCTATGACTTTGTATAATCTATGCATTTTTAAGAATAGGATAGGAAGTGAGATTTTATTAGAGTATTCAGACAGAATGCCAGGAGGAGAAGAGAAACACTTCCACTGACAACCAGTTTTATCTTAGGAAACTGAGTCAAGAAGAGTATGAACGACAAGAAAGAGAGCACAGGCTGTCAGCTGCAGATGAAAAGGCAGTTTCGGCTGCAGAGGAAGTAAAAACTTACAAGTAAGTTCACCTTCTAAAGAGGGTATCAGTGGCTAATGAAACTAGTGTTGGCTTTTTTTATTAGCACCAAAGCACAAATAAATGGTTAGAGGACACGAATACATCAGTTCACAAAAAAGAAAAACTATATTTTAAGTTAACAAATGGAAAAATATTAACAAGTAGCCAGTGTTGGCAAAACTGTAAGGGAACTTGATTCATGCAAACAGTTCTGGGGGTCGGGGGGGCGTGGGGGCAGTTTGTTGTATGTGTCAAAAGCCATTAAAGTGATTTTGCCATTTGATAGACCCAGTAGTCCTAACTTTGGGAAATTTTTTTATAATATAATTAAAGGATGAAAAAAGGTTTATAGTGGAAGATATTAAGAATAGGATTATTCGAGAACATATTTAGGAACAGTTAAAGAAATTTTAATTTATCAACTCAGAATCTCCAGCTATTAAAGGAAATTATGTATCATTAGTTTTCATCATATTGTACTTTTGTTATAACCAACCATGTAAAATATGCTTTATATTTCTGGATAAGCTGTATTAGGGTACAGTTGTTAGGGTAAAGGTTAACATAGTAAGATGGTTTGGGTTTTCATTTGGTTGTGCTTTAAATGATAAAACCAAGTGTAATTCTTAGGCGGAGAATTGAAGAAATGGAGGATGAATTACAGAAGACAGAGCGGTCATTTAAAAACCAGGTAATAACTCTAGTGCCCTACTATATAGTGCCTGGAATTCTTTGATAACTACTACAGGCTATTATAATGAATCTGTAAGCATATTTTGTGATGTATTATCTTTTTCAGATCGCTACCCATGAGAAGAAAGCTCATGAAAACTGGGTAAGATTTGTTTTTTCTTTACCTTATTTTGTGCATAGTCTCCCACAGCTGAATTTGGATATTTTTCTTCAATAGCTGAAAGCTCGTGCTGCAGAAAGAGCTATAGCTGAAGAGAAAAGGGAAGCTGCCAACTTGAGACACAAGTATGTGATTGTGATGCCTGTATTTTCAGTGTGTGATGTCTTAAGGAATTGGTTTCTGTTTCACATTTAAGTCTTTCTTAAATATTCTTTCTCTATATTCAAGATTATTAGAATTAACACAAAAGATGGCAATGCTGCAAGAAGAACCTGTGATTGTAAAACCAATGCCAGGAAGACCAAATACACAAAACCCTCCACGGAGAGGTAAGGGAGCACCTTGTAAAGGGCAGCAATCTGTATTTTGATGTAAAATGTATATACGTGACTTTTTGTTTCTGTGTGTAATGGTATGGTACCCTAGGAATAATCCCAAGAACTGAATAAAGAAAAAAAGTCTGTCTTAAAATGTTAACACGACGCTGTCATCTTTAGGTCCTCTGAGCCAGAATGGCTCTTTTGGCCCATCCCCTGTGAGTGGTGGAGAATGCTCCCCTCCATTGACAGTGGAGCCACCCGTGAGACCTCTCTCTGCTACGCTCAGTCGAAGAGATATGCCTAGAAGTGAATTTGGTGAGCATTCACGTGTTTCCTTGCAATACTCTTTTGGGTGGTTTTTTCCCTTTTATTTGAGAATTCTAATGCAAACACTTTAGAATTCGGGTCTGTCCAGTATAGAAAAGAAAATTTCTTTCTTTGTCTTGGTGGATTCAACTGCAAGTATTCAACTGAAAGATTTTGCTTTAGAACAGAAGGCATTTATTATTTTCCTTTATTGTTTTGTTTCTTAGTTTTTTACTCTGAAGTATAAGCTTTTATCTTTCAGTTAAAGTTCTGTGGGATTCCTCTCCCAAATACAGCTGACACTTCAACAACACAAGTTTGATCTGTGCAGGTCCACTTCTATGCAGATTTTTTTCAAAAAATATCTTGGGAAATTTTTTGGACCTTTGCAATAATTTGAAAGAACTTGCAGATGAACCACATAGCCTAGAAATATAAAAAAATTTAAGAAAAATTTATATATGTTGTGAATGCATAAAATATATGTAAATACTAGTCTATTTTATCATATACTATTGTAAAATATACAAAGATCTATTTTTAAAAGTTAAAATTTATCAAAACTTGCACAAGCACAGATGTACCTGATACCATTCACAATTGGGAAAAATAAACACATGTAGAGATGCAGTTTTAAATCATAAATGCGTAAGATTAGCTGTAGTACATACTGTACTACTGTAATAATTTCATAACCACCTCCTGTTGCTACTACAGTGAGCTCAAGTGTTGTGAGTATCCACTTAAGACACCATGTGATGTTAATCTGCATGTGGGCAGTTCATCTTTCCAGTAAATTGTGTATCACAGTAAACATAATCTCTCATGGTTCTTGTGTATTTTTCACGTTTAGTGCAATACCATAAACCTTGAATAACACCATGGGACCCATATAAAATGCTACTAGTGATGCTGGAAGAATTCTCCAGAAGCAGAGTCATGACACTACTAGAGAAAGTTGAATTGCTTTGATATATACCATAGATTGGAGTGTGCAGTAGCAGTTATCAGTCATTTCAGTCAGACGGTTCATCTTGTAAACAGACCATGTACATGTACAGTACAAATACAATACAGTGCTATAAATACATTTCCTCTTATGATTTCAATAACATTTTCTTTAGCTTGCTTTATTAAAGTAAGAATACAGTATACAATATATATACAGAATATGTATTAACTGTTTATGTTATTGGTAAGGCTTCTGGTCAGTAGTAGGCTATTTATTAGTAGGTAGGTTTTGGGGAGTCAAAAGTTACACGTGGATTTTTGACTGCGCAGGGGATCAGCACACTTAACCCCTGCATTGTTCAAGAGTCAACTGTATTATAAAGTAGCCTTAATAACTTTATAGTTTATGCGGCATACATGTTTCCACTTCTCATTACTAGAGTATGAAACGCTGTTAAGTCTATTTTGAATCCTAAATATGTCTATAATACTCGGTAAGATACAGAAGTCAGATTACATATACACTGAACAAAAATCACCATGTAGAATACAATACATGGAAGTCTGTAGCTTGAAGTGTAGAACCAGAGCCATTAATGTGCAGGATTTATTGTTCTTTCAGTGCAAGGCAGTTTTTATTTTAATTCTTTAAGTCCGTGCATAAATTGTAAGTGATTTCCCTTCATAAGGATTGGGAGACCCATTTTTAATATTGCTTTCCAGATAGACTTGAACCCTGACTTGTCCACAATTGATTATTTCTTCCAAAAAATACATATAAGGGCTCTGTTATTTCTTTCTCAAGGATCAGTGGACGGGCCTCTACCTCATCCTCGATGGTCAGCTGAGGCATCTGGGAAACCCTCTCCTTCTGGTAAGGGAGCAAGAGTGTTCAAAGAGTCTAAAACCATGCAGGAAGTGGGCAGAGGAATTTCTTTTTTTTTTTTTTTTTTTTTTTAATCCTCCTCACAGAGTACACAAGTCAGAATAAGTCTAAATCAGTTCTCTGGTCTTTAACAGATCCAGGATCTGGTACAGCTGCCATGATGAACAGCAGCTCAGGAGGCTCTTCCCCTAACAGGGTAATCGATGAAGGCAAGGTAAATACCCCCATTTTGAATAATTAGTTATTTCAGGACATTTAGCTTTTCCTACAACTCTGTCTTTGCCTCATCTCCTATTTGTGTGTTCTACCTGTACTATCTCATTTATTTTTTAAAAAAGCAAACTGTTCTGCAAGAGCCTGAAGTCCCCTCAGTTCCCAGCATTACATCTTTGGCTGAGCATCCAGTAGCAGTAAGTACTTAGAAGTGTGGACTGAACTGGGCTATAAGTTGCATGGCAATATTGATCTTACTTTTATCCTTGACTTGGGAGTGTTGCTGAAATCTGATGGATTCATTGGCCTTTTCTCCTCTCTCCTGTTTGGTTAGACATTTAACCTGTGTAGAGCATCTGCTGTAACTCTAATTAACTTAAACAAAAGTGAAAAGTCCCCACTCTTGTGTGTTTCAGTGTTTAATGCTATTAGGCAAAGTAAATTCATTGTAAATTGTGTAATTCATTACTGTGTCTTCATTTGGAAGTGTGGTATTTAAGAATACCTCCAATTGTATACTAGGCAAACCCTATTTTGAATGATCTGAAATTACAGATCGATAACAGAAGAATGTTTGCTGGAAGTGAAATACTGAATAGTGAAAGTCTATAATTACCCATTGAGCCAGTTCCCAGCAGTGTCCTTAAACAGTGTTCACATAAGTATATTCTCTTGTAACTTGTGTAGCTGTTATGGCTGGTAAGTGCTCTGATCATACCTCACCGTGATTCTCTACATTGAAATTAAAATAAGTTTAATGATTGAGAGTTTCCAACCCACTTTCCCATAGGAAATGATTAATCAGTATCTCATAGTAGACAGTATTACTAGTGAATGAAGGTAGATAGAGCTGTGCCTGTGTAATTTGTGTACCTAACATTGTTTCTCTTGGAAGATACTTCCAAGTTCCAGCAGAGGACTCCAGGAATACACATCTCTTGAGAAATGTTTTTATCCAAGGGCAGCTTGGATAAGACCCAAGACCCCTTTGAAGTAGGAGACTTCAAAGAGTGTAGAGGCTGCTTTGTGAGACAGGAGAAGCAGAGGTGGAAAGAACGTGGCCTTGGAGTCAAACCTGGCATTGAATTCCAGCCAGCCTCTTACATGCTGTGTGACCGTCAGCAAATCTAATACTCTCTGTGCCTGTGTTCCTGCATATTTAGAACAAGATGGTCCTATTAGAGATTTAGAGATGTGATAATTCGAGTTAATATATGTAAGGCCTACAGAAGGTACTCTGAATAATCACTATTACATGGTAGAGAATGGATTTTTCATTCCCATTCATTCTCTGCATCCTTAATATGGAAATTACTCTGATGGGAGGGATGTGCAGAGGGAGTGACTGCCTTAGAAATAGACGTATGAATGGCATAACTTCTATATTAGTCAGGAATGACCTCCATTTATAACCTGTGCATTCCCTTCCATTTGCAGATGTAAGCAATGGTACGATTGTAGCAAGTGTTCACTCCTGTGGCGTACTTTTAACCTTTCTAAGCTATCAGTGGTAACAAATGAGAGGGGTAGAGTTTTTTGCACTAATTCTGCTCTTCGGACAAATGCCTGATATCTGCTTCATTGGGTTTTAGTTTTTACTGGTGTTGGTGCTTTTGTCTGTCATAACAGAGTATTTCAAAACTTCAAGTGCTTCTACTCTGCAGGTTAATATGGCTCCAAAAGGGCCCCCTCCTTTCTCAGGAGTCCCTCTCATGAGCACCCCTATGGGAGGCCCTATACCACCACCCATTCGATATGGACCACCACCTCAGCTCTGCGGACCTTTCGGGCCTCGGCCACTTCCTCCACCCTTTGGTAAGATGATCTGAACAGTAGTGATTGACTTCTAAAGCACATTCATCTCCCTCTATCCCTTGCTAATACAACTGCAATTGCAGGGCTTTGCAATGCAGTGATGAAGCTGATTGAGTACATTGTTAACTTTTCCCCAAGTTTCTTAGGACACAAAGGGTGCTGCATAATCTCCTGTGATTAGATGGGCAATAATTGTCTCTAATAGAACAAGGAAAGAGGCTATTCATAAAAAGCCAGAAATATTAAGCACATGTTTATTGAACATTTGTGGCTGTGTACTGGGCTGTGCAATGGATAGCAAGGTAGATAAAATATATCCTCTAATTAAGATGTCTTGTAGGTCACAAATATACACACACTACAACATAAAGCTTGTAATCACCCATAATGGAAGCATAAGCAGTAGGTCACAGGATATTAGGGAAAGATATAAACCCTCAATCCTCACCTTGGGAATACAAAGGAAGGAGATATGAAAGAGAAGGTAGAATTTAACAGCTATCTAATGAATGCTGCTGAATTTAATTAGATGCAGCTGAAAGGCCTTTTCCAGCAGGGCAAGCACCTTAATTTTTATGGCATTATTAGCTTCATCTTGAGCTACTGCGTAATTTTTTTTTTTTTTTTTTTGAGATGGAGTCTCGCTTGTTGCCCAGGCTCGAGTGTGGTGGCACAATCTCTGCTCACTGCAAGCTCCGCCTCCTGGGTTCACGCCATTCTCCTGCCTCAGCCTCCCAAGTAGCTGCGACTACAGGTGCCCGCCACCACACCCGGCTAATTTTTTGTATTTTTAGTAGAGACGGGGTTTCACCGTGTTAGCCAGGATGGTCTCGATCTCCTGACCTCGTGATATGCCCGCCTCGGCCTCCCAAAGTGTACTGCATAAATTTGTAACTGATACACAGTAGTTAATGGAATTTATCAAAATTTTTATTGCAATGAAGCCATATTTAGTCTGTCTTCTTGGTATGGTGGAGTGCAAATCTATCTCTTTTTAAGATAAAGATGATAGGCCAGGCACAGTGGCTTACGCTTGTAATCCCAGCACTTTATGAATCCCACCATTCATTAGATGAGGCTGAGGCGGGTGGATCCCTTGAGTCTAGGAGTTTGAGACCTGTATGGGCAACATGGTGAAACCGCCATCTCTACAAAAAATACAAAAATTAGCTGGGAGTGGTGGCATCCATCTGTAGTCCCAGCTACTCAGGAGTCTGAGGTGGGAGGATCGATTGTGTCCAGGAGATTGAGGCTGCAGTGAGCCATGGTCACTCCACTACACTCCAGTCCAGGTGATAGGCAAGACTCTACCTCTAAAAAAAAAAGAAAGGATGACAGACCGTATTAACATACCTGGCATTATCTTAATTTAGATATGTTCCTAGGAATTTACTAGAAATAATTTTTGTTTTCCAGGCCCTGGTATGCGTCCACCACTAGGCTTAAGAGAATTTGCACCAGGCGTTCCACCAGGAAAACGGGACCTGCCTCTCCACCCTCGGGAATTTTTACCTGGACACACACCATTTAGACCTTTAGGTCCACTTGGCCCAAGAGAGTACTTTATTCCTGGTGCCCGATTACCACCCCCAACCCATGGTCCCCAGGATTACCCACCACCACCTGCTGCAAGAGACTTACCGCCATCAGGCTCTAGAGATGATCCTCCTCCTGCCTCTCAGAGCACTAGCCAGGACTGTTCACAGGCTTTAAAACAGAGCCCATAACTATGATCTCTGACGTTTCGTTGGAGAGAAAGTGTACTGTGCATTATTCATTACAGTAAAAGATTTCATTGGCTTCAAAATCCCAAAGTTTATTTTAAAAGGTTTGTTGTTAGAACTACGCTGCCTTGGCAGTGTGCATTTTTGAGCCAAACAATTCAGAAATGTCATTTCTTCCCTAAATAAGACACCTTTTAAGCTAGAGCGTCCTTACAACTTTGAAATGTGCAATAAAGAATACCTGTGTTTTAGCTAATGTAGCATATGTAATTGCTAAATGATTTAGAATGTCATGAAAAATATGAACATTTCCTGTGGAAATGCTTTAAGAACATGTATTTCCATTATCCTATTTTTAGTGTACACCAGCTGAATATGGAGCAATGGTGTTTATAAGCGTTTTTTTTTTTAAACTATCTGGTCACAAAGACTGTTACGCTAAAAATGTTTACTAAAGGATCACTAAACTTCATCTCCCCTCTTGCTGAAGTTCTTTGTAGTAACAGCTCATAAAAATTTGTTATTAATATTTCCCAAGTGTCTGTTGATTCATTGGACTGTTAATGAGGCTTGTGCGATTTGGGGAACATGTACACTCAGGCTCCCAGAACTGATGATGGTGGCTGGTGGCACACTTCCGGCTGCTACCCCGTCACCTGTGAACTCTACAAGTGATGTCTTTTTATTTCAAAGAAGTTTATTTCCCACTTGTATAGCATTCACATGCTTTCTTTACGATCCTCATTGTCTATTTTAGAATGGTTTTCTGAGAGTGAGTTTACATTAGTAGCAAGAGTTGTTTGACCTGATGTTCTATTGCTTTTACCATTCCTGTAGAAAAAAGGTACACAACAGAAAAATGAAAATGATGTGTCATGGCCATAAAAGTACAGAAATCTTTAAAAATTTTAAAAATGTACAGTCTCGTCTTTCCCATTCCTTGCCACTGATTTTTGAGGAATATAATAAAAAGATTGGAAGAGTATAATGCCATGAGAAAGAATGATTTAGGACTATGAGGCTTACAACATGCCCTAGGTCAGCAATCAAGGGTTGAAATCAGTTTTTTTTTTAGGGAGGAAGAGGGGGGCGACAGGTGTTATTCCAAAATTAATATTTAAACATTGGTGCTTTTATTTAAAAATCAGTAACTAACCATCTGGAATTGCAGCATACTTAGTCTTATCCATTACTACACTGTGCCTTTAAAACAATGTTTCTTTAAATACTCTACAGCATTTCTAAGAACTAACTTCAGACATTTTAATTACAGTAATAATAGCACTCCTTTTAAGGAGTTTAAGATCTAGACTAAAACTAAAATCATAAAAGGCTGATACTTTTGTTTGCTGCTAGGTTATATTCTTCCATTCATTGAAGTCCTATGATGTAATATTTTTGAAACCTAGTGTATGTCTTGTCACTGTTGTGATATTTAAATTGATTAAGAATATCTTGTAAAAAGGAGTAAAAGCTTCAATGTGGAACAATTTTCTCTTTATACTAAACAACTGAAGATAGATAGTTTAGAAAGATAAGGACTTTGAAAGAAGGCAACTCTGTCAAAGTTCGTAAGGAATATATAAATTCTTCAGGAAAAGAGAATTCAATCTATATGTCCTCCCATTTAATATCAAGAATAGAAGAAATTAAGAGGAAAACTCCACAGAAGAGCATAGGCCACTTTTAGCCATGTAAAATAAGATTAAGTCACAAATACAATTTTTGAATTTACCTGTCAGTCTCTTTAGGACACAAAACAATGCTGAAATTAATATAATTTCTAATTTTAAATGTCATTTAAGTGTAGATTATGCCATCTAGGAAGGTAAGTAGAAAAGGTAAATTAAATCTATTTTTAAAATTCAAAATTAGAGTATTTTTCCCCTCTAAAGCCTTTTTTGGTGATTATTCTGTATCTGACATAATTGAGAAACTGGCAAGCTGTGGAGATTCCAGTGTAGCTTCTCTGAGAAGTTGTTAGCCAGTCCATAACTGCTTCCTCTCATCCATCTGAGTGCACCATTTCTGCAGCAAACCCCAAAGCAGGGCGCCAAAACGCAGATGGCATAGGGAGTATCATCCCTCAGTCAAATCACTTTTCCATCTCTAAAGTTTCATCTATTTCGGAAGTCATCTCCAACTAATTGTGTCTGGATTTAGTTGCTAAAATTGTCTTATTTATGAAGCAGCAATATTCAGCCTGAAGGCATTTCTGCTATAGTTGTAGTGACATCGTCAATGGCTGATTTTTTTTCATTGGAAAGTAAGTAATTTGTGGGATGTAGTATATTCTGTGTCAACTGCAAGACAATCACTCATTTTCTCATTATATTCAAGTCCGAATTAAAGTTAAGCTAATCACACAGTGTTCAATTTAAGCTTCTTTAATGTTGATGAAAGGTATTTGTAGTTCATATAAACCATACTTATGTGAAGGATAGCAGATGCTTCATATAAATTATCACTTTGATATACATATCTTACGGTTTATGAGAAAAGAGAAAAAATAATACATCGGTTTTGCTACATTTTAATCGTTTTTTTTTTAAGGGATTGTTTTTTAGGTCTTGTCAGCAACATCAAACAAAAGGTACTGAGTACTCCACAGGGTACAGAGTGCTGCCAAGCACCTTAGAAAAATTACATGACACGGAGAAAATGCGCTTCTTGCTCCTTGAAGAGCTTACAGTCTAGGGATTTGACAACTCACAGTCTTAGGAACTGAGTGAACAATAAAGTAAGGCAAATTCTTCATCCCTTAGAGCTATTGTGGACTGACTCATTTTAGAATTTGGAATTAATCCAATCAAGATGAGAGACAAGACTAAATTTGGCCGAGAATTCGTTCAGGCTCACATAGTTTTTATTAACATCCGTCTAGTAAATAGAATGGACCTAACAGACAACTGAAAGTAAGGTGCAAGGGCTAAAACAACTTAATTGTGGTTACTTATTTTAAAAGCAAACATACTGAATGGTATGACTAGGGTGATTACACTAGTTTAAAAATAGGCCAGGTACTGACACTGCATTCCCCTCATGCATTGCTCATTTAAAATAGTGAATATTAAAATATGTGGGCTTTACATCTAACCCACAGAAAGCCCACCACAAATGTTCTGTGTATCAAATATCCACCTCATGTGTACTATGAAAGTTTTATTTATGCCCCATTAAGTCAAAAGTAAATAGTCAAATTATAGTAAGCTAATGACCTGCATATTTTCATATGGATGAATGTCAGTATATCTAAATAGGAAATAAATGGCGATCCTATCTACCTATATAAAAAAAATAGAATATCTTTCCAGATTTTGCATACTCCTCACTATAAGAAGAGGTATGCGGGTTTTAAGGTTTCACAATCAGTTGTCAGAAAAACAGCAGTTATGCCTGCAGTATCTCGTTAGCATCTGACTCAATTATTTTTAGATTACATGTTTAGAAGACATTGTAAACCCATCTAAAAATTTGTAATTACTTTGAGATGGTTCCAATGTTAACCCTAGAATCATCATCAGAAAGAGTAACAATGTGATGTAGAAGAACAGCTAATCAACATGACTAAAAATATGCTCATTTTCAGAAAAACAATCTGGTCATCTGGAAACAATCACAGCTACAACCTAGGGAACACTCCCATATGGGATACTGATCTGGCCAAGGCACACTTTCTAAGCAGGAAAACTATCAGATCAGGGTGAATTTAGGCCACTTCAGAGGAGCTGCCTATAAACATCCAGACAGACCTTCTTAGGCCGCAGAACTGGTCCAATTCCTCTTAAAGCAGTTTGACACTACCCTACCCACATCAACCCAAAGCTTGAAGTTAAGTCAAAAGAGCATACTGGAGCAAAAGTGAACAGATGTGTAAACTCTAGCACATTCTTATTGCTGTATTAAGTCTGAAGATGAGCACATCCTACCCACAACAGTATTGTTCCAGGAAGCAGGGTAGGAGTAGTGGTAAATTAGAAAATAGACTATTAATTGCACAATTAATAGAAAAGTAAAAACATGTTTCAAAATCTACAATAAACCTGTATCCAAAGGAGTCCTATATGTCAGTGATGTGCTGGACTTTGAATTCTGTGGTACAGCTTTGCATTGGACTCCCTCTGGCCTACTGGTCTGGGTACGGCTTGCTTCCTGCCTGTTGAAGGGTGAATACGCTACACAGAGCTATGATGGTTTCTACTGAGTGGTAAAATTCACAGAAGTTCCAGGTTCATCATGTCAGGATCATTCCTTGTGCAAAGTTTGATGTAGATGAAGATAAAGTGGTTTCTTGGTCAATAATTGTAATTTCTTTCTTTTAAAGTCAGTGGGTTTCTTGTATCTGTAATCACAACAGAAGGATGATTGTTTAAAACACTTTGATAACTGAACTCTTCCAAGGTTAAATACTGGATATGGGGGATTTAGAAGAAATATATACTAGTCACGATCAAATTAGTACTAACTCTATATGCACACCACTTACAGTTCTATTACAATTGGCCCAGGTTTAATTTCATCCATCTCCATGAAAGCAAAACACTTGGTGCTGGTAAACCTTTTTTTAGGCTTGTAGTGTTTGAATTCAAAGAAGATAGCTGCACCTAAGGAATTAAAACAAGCCACATAAACCACAGATAGCACATTTCTTGTGTGTCAATTCATTTTCTTTGATCACCAGAAGCATATGAACAGCTACAGCGGGCATAATTTGACAAAACAACTTGTGCCAGTCTCAATGATTTGACAGTAACTTACTATGGTTGTCACCCCAAACTCGTCTGTATCTGAGAAGAGTGACATTTCTCCTTATCATCCAATTCTACAAACTATAGCAAAACTTCTTGAGCTAGACTGCTTCAAGAATGTATAACAGTTATGTACACAGGTAGAATCATAAGCTGCTATAAAATACGAAATGCCACAGAAGAACAAAGAAGATACTTCAATACACATAGAAACTCATTAGGTAGAAAATGCATTTAAAAGAGTTCCTAAAAAAATTTAAGCTTGAATTATTACCCTTATCCCGAAACAAAAACTCAAAAATTCAATCTTGGGGATATTTTGGAATTCAAACAACATAAATCACATGCTGGCTGAGCTGTAAAATGTTATCTCTTTCCCTAATACCTTTTGCAGTATTATTCAAAGCACTGTTGTGATGTTTTTCCTGGAACTGCATGTTTGTGTCAAGGCAGTGCTGTAGAAGACAAAAGGTTCAAAGAGCAAATCTATCTATTCTGCCACTCTCCTCCAATGAGCAAGTGATAATGAGAAATTTAGACAGTTCTGGCCAGGTGCGGTGGCTCATGCCTGTAATCCCAGCATTTTGGGAGGCAGAGGTGGGCAGATCACTTGAGCCCAGGAGTTTGAGACCAGCCTGGCAACATGGTAAGACCCCACCTCTACAAAAAAATTTTTAAAATAGCCGGGCTTGGTGGCAGGTGCCTGTAGTCCCAGCTACTCGGGAGGCTGAGGAGGGAGGACTGCCTGAGCCCAGGGAGACTGAGGCTGCAGTGAGCCATGATCATGCCACTGTGCCCCAGCCTGTGTGACAAAGCAAGACTCTGTTTCAAAAAAAGAAAAAAATAAGCAATTTAGACAGTCCTATGTCCCCAAAGTCCAACAGATAAACTCTTCCCCCAATCCTGCAGAAAAAAGCTAAAAATGGAGAAATAAGTTGCCTCATCAATGTGGCCAAGAAAAATGAATTTCTAAAGAAGGCATGGAAAGTGAAGGAAGGAAGTCAGTGTCTCACTCTTCACTGGTTACTTCTAAATACTGCCTTAACCAGAGCAGTCCAGGAGCTTGGCTTTCAAAGACAACATACATTTAATACTGTCACTGATGACAAAACTCACAAGTCACTAGAAGTTCAGCAGTGTTCAGAAATGTGTGTACAGCATTGGCACTTGGGTCCAAATGGACCACATCACATGGGAAGGGAGGAAAGAAAAACCAGTTGTTCAGGAGACAATGGGATGTGGGTGAGAGAGAGATGGGCATATTCAGCCATCCACTCCCAACATGCTCGAAAGGATTACAATAGTTAGGTTACTGGTAACATCTCTTCCCTAGGTGTGTGACCTTGCCATTTCCACAAACGGTGGCTTCTCTTCTCCCTCCCACAACACTCAGAGGCATTTTGTCATTAGAAAACCTCAAAGATTTTTAAGATACCAGAGTCTTTTCAGCTAGGAAACCCATCTCCTCCTCATGATCGTGTCTTGAGGTTTGAATAAATGTGAATGATAAAGTCACATTTCAAAACAATGCTAAAGTTCAAATATGTTACCATCATTCTGAGGAAGTTAAATTATTAACCTGTATCACTTGTAAATAATATATTTCCTGCATCCCTCATCATGCTTTTTATAAGAAAGAACAAAACATAAAACAAGAATATCCTGGGAAGATTAAGTTAAAATGTTTGTAAACATGAAAGTATGGTCATTAACACTAATATCAGTTAAAACTACAGTAACGGTAAACAGTAAGTTTGAAGCTGGCGAAAACGAATAGAGTCAAATTTTTAATCTAGTTCTACTTTTATTATCTGGTGAGTCGAGTCATTTAGAAAGAACACAGTGTAATGAAATAGAAAAGTTAACCCATGAAACACTCCACCTTCTCCCCTCCACATCACAAACATTTCTTAAGGCAACAGAGTTAAAGAAATGAAACAAATCAACAGTTTTGTTCAGAAGACATACTTTGTAACTGAAATTTCTTCAACACTATTTATTAAGCACCTCCTACATACATAGTCTTCTAACACAGCGACTCTGGAGCTTTGGTGTATGTCAGAATCACCTAGAGGGCTTCCTAAAACAGACTGCTAGGCCCGTCCCCATGGTTTCGGATTCAGGATGTCTGGGGTTGCCACCTAACAAGGTTCCAGGTGCTGCTGCTGTTCCAGGAATCATACTCTGAGAACCACTGTTCTAACAGAAGCACTGAAAGGTCTTTTAGTAGAAGAACAGAGGAGGCAGCAGCATCAGACTTGAGAAGTGAAATATCAAATATTTCAGATGCCGAGGCAATCACTTCAAAAGGCACTTGAATATCCTATAGAGCTTGAACATTTCAGAAACTGCAATTGAACCCTCAGGTGATAAAGGGATTCTGAAGTCACCTTTTTGGAGAACACCGAAATTTTCACTGGGCAAAAAGCATGGGTAAGTATTTAATACTAAGAACTGTACTTGGAAATGTAACCTCACTGTTTCAAAAATTTGCTTTTGTCCTTTCCTATTTCCTAACAATTAACTGCAAGTTATCGTGCTACCAAACTAGAAATCCTGGAAGAAAACCCTGGTTCTTAATTTTAAGATTAAAACTTAATCATTAAACTTAATCATCAGG